CTTTTAATAAAGCACAGTTGAGAATATATCTGATTTAAAAGAAATATTCTCATGTGACAGTGCAGCAATGGCTACTGTGGAAATAGCCGAGTCTTCTCCCTCTTTGACCCATTTAAATATTTGATTCCTTTCTGCATGATGTAGCAGTACATTTGGTATCTTCTGATTTGTGTCTCCTTTTCTCTACCTGAATTTCTTACTTGCCTGTCCATGTCTCTCCTGTACTCCTCCGTTTCCTTTTCTGTCTTCCTTTTCTTCATTTGAAGGCTATTCTAAAGATCAGTCACAAAAACTTGGCCCTACCTGCCTTTATATTCATATCTCTCATAGCAGAGGTACCAGGAGATTTGATTATTTTTTTTTTATTTTTTTTTTTAGTTTTTTTTAGCCTATGTGAAATGGCTGTTGTAGAAATTTTGGTCTCAGAAAGACAGATATTCGCCTGCATAGCTATAGTCGGTGCGTAAGTTTAATGGCATCCTGATGTTGCCTGGGTTTTCTGTGAGGTGCGGATAACAAGGATTTGGGTGATGTGTTCCCAGCAGACTCGTCTGCTGCAAGAAAGCCCAGAACGTGCTCCTGAGCCGGCTGCAGCACCGTGGAGCGGCTGCTGAGGTCTGCGGGCTGCTGCAAGCTTAAATGCAGATGACTGAAGCTAGCTAGCCTGCGGGTCATAACTCTGAAGCTTAATGGTGAAATCACTGCTCAACAGCAGAGAAAATGGTGTTCTCATTAGTTTCAGATATAAGAAACCAAGACAACTGACAGCTCAGGAGCAGTGTAGGGCAGAAAGGGCTCAGAGGAGTAATCAATTTGACTATTTATAGCAAATATTCTCAGACCAATGCAGAAATTACTTCTTCAGGACGTTTTTCCACCTGATGCTTGCATCTCTTCCATCTTGTGTGGCTTCAATATTGTCCAGCTCTGGTAGAAATTAATATATGTAAGCAACAGCAGCAGCAAGAGGTGTAGGAGTTGGTGTTCTCTGCCTCTGGCGCCGTTTGAAATTCCCACAAAAAGCCCTTGCATTTATTCAGGATTTATGAAGGGCAAAAGAATATGTGCTTTATTGAATGTTTCTCTGTAAATGGATTTCTTCGTCCAGAAGATTTTTGAAGAATTATCCGTAAGTGATGACCTCATTCCCAAATATTAGTTCCAAAGCATGTCCAGAAGATTTTTGAAGAATTATCCATGATTGATCACCTCATTCCCAAATATTAGTTCCAAAGCACATGAGAGATTAGCAACTGTATGTTTGACAAAATCTAGTACATTAAACACTAGGAAAAAAAAAAGTTATTTCTTTATGCAAAGAAATAATTCCGAAGGATGATTTAGCTTTGCTTTGGTTTGGTGGGGTTTTTTTCCATCATTTTATTGTGCTTTTTTATAGGTTTGGAGATACCACTTTGCAGGAAAACATCAACCAGGAAAACTTAGAACTTCTAAAAGAGTATTACAAGCTGTTTACAGAAAAAATGCCTCCTGATTGTGAGTACAAAATAATGCAATATCCAACTGTCTTTGAAAAGGTTGGATGGGTGAAAGATTATAAGAAAGTAATATTAGCACAATATTAGTGTGCAGCTTTTAGATGTAGACCTCAATCCCATAAGTTGTTCCATGAAGTTAAACACTTTGTGCCGGTACGCAGCTCTGCCGAAGTCAGTGGTGACTGCAGGCCTGACACCACAGCAGGAACTACAGGGAGAGTGAAACACAGTAATGATGAGCTAAACAACTCTTTTTAGTTGACACATTAAAAAGCATATTAACAAGTAGAGGACAGTCTGTACTCACTATATTTGTACAGAAGTACTTGGTGGGATTTTTCATCGGTTTCAGTCATTCCCTCCATTCTTATTTTGAAAATGTATTAAGGTATGGCAAACCACTGAGAAATTTTTGCAAATACAATCAATAACCCACATGATAATATCACTGATATGAATAACATGGTTCCATTAGAATAGGCCCTATATTCCAATTTTGTAGAAATTTGGTATCATAGACATTACTATTCCGTTACTCTGAAAGCAAACACTGAAAAGACCATTTGTGTCAATCTAATCCTCTTAAAATAGTCTTAATGCCTAAACTATATTCCTCAGTGTCACAGATTTTACAGCCTGATTTTAAATAGCTTGGATTTAGATGTCTGCTCCTTCCCCTTGGGTAAAGGGCGGGGCAAATCTTTGGAATCTAAAGATCTACCATCCTACAGGACATGTATGTAACTCCTCATGGCGAATACTGCTGGTTACAATCCCGTGCAAAGCTTCTGTTCTCTTACAGAACACCTTGTCTTGATTACTTTTGCAAATTATCCATTACATTTATGTACTTGTAGTTATATCTAATGTGTCTCTGTATATGTGTACATGTTTATCTTTTATATCAGGATGATTTTAATTTGTTAATAATTTTGTTAGAAGTGAAAGCTCTGTTCCTAAATGGTGGGCAGTATGCCCATCCATCCACCCACATCTCTAGTATTTCTAGGGTTTCTACAGTGAAACTTATACAAGAAGTTAGTAATTAATTTAGGGGAATCCTGCCAAGAAAGCATCCTGAAAAACTAACCTCATCTGGGGTTAGGTCTAAGGTAGATCTGCTACCTCATAAATGGATCTGATTATATAAAAGCAAAAATTTGCATGCAGATAGTATTGACTGCTTTTCATTAACAGCAACGTACCTTGTACTGTCTTTCTGCAAAAGGATTATCGGTGAGCCACACAGTCTCCCTGGACTTCTTCCAGACTGTGCAGGCTTTTGAGAACTACGCTTGTCTAATTCCTTGTGTCTTTTCTGGTTATTATTACCTTCTTGCTTTTTTCTCTGCCTCGAAGATCTGAGTCTGTTCTTTGTCCAAATTTTTGCAGAACACAAAGTACCTTCTGGTTTCACTGCCCTTCCCAGTAGCTCCCTGCTATTACACGGAATCACTCTTTTGGCTTGGAGGAATGTGCATTTAAGCCAGCTGCCTGGAAAGAAGTGAAGCTGTTCCTCTGGAGGAGGACTTCAATTCCCCCCCTGTTCCCCCACCTCTGTGTTCAAGTTCTTAGGAAGATAAATGTCCATCCGAGCTGGCAGCAGCCTGGTGGTGTAGCCAAGTGCGAGCCATTCAGTATTGATGGCTCCTTGATGGTTTTGTCACACCATTCCAGATAATTTCCTGTAGTGCCAAATCTGTGCTACAAAATGAATGCAGGACCCGGCTCAGACAGCTGTTAGTTACAAATAGGGCTCAGAAAGCCAGACAGAATTTGAGGACTCGCAGCCCCCTTGGCCAGGCTGTTGCATCCACCATCCTTAGGCAGCCTCACTTGCCTGCTGCTTCATTCATATATTCCATTTCAAAAGAATTCAATTTTCCACTCCCATAAAGGTATTCCCACCTTTTGCTATTAGTTTTTCTCTCATCTCTGTAATTCTCATTGCCAATAATATTCTAGCTTTCTCTCTATTCCCAGTTATTAAAAGTCTTCAGCTGCATGTAACTGCATATGCCAAAGGCTGACTTCCTATCTTCTTTTAGACGAGTATGCACTCCCTCTCTCACCTGTTTCTCAATCTCTTTAATTCTCTAATAGGAAACTCTGAGAACAATAAATAACAATGTGCTCCCAGAAGGATTCCTACCAAAAATGCCAACCAAATGTAGTTCTGGTTTAGGCACCAAAATAGTACTGCTTTTATAGAATAGCTAATGATAGTAAGGGTACAAAAATGTATGATTGTTGTTTAGTAGTACCTAATTAATTAAAAAGAACTGCTTAGAACTCAATTTAAACAGCTGAAAGCATAAAATCGGAGAAACCTATGTCACGAGTTACATACAGTGTTGCTGGTGTGATACATAACACCCAAAGCAGCAGCAGCGTTGCAAAGAATTGTCCCATGTGAGAAGAGGGATGCATGCAAGGTTTAGAAATCCTGCAAGCAAATGATGATTTTTCTTCCATAGCATCATAATGCATGTGGCAGTACATGCATTTGCAACATAAAGTCCATGAATCTGTTTTGTACTTCCAGGCTTCTCCCCCTTATAATCTATGAGAATGATTTGATGATTTAATACTGCTTTATGACACAAGAAATTTAAGCAATCGATCACGTCCAGTGAAGATGCAGCTTGTTTGGCAAGATGACAAATTGGGAGAATCTTGCTTTACCTATGGTGAAGTCATCTCTCTGAGATGATGCATCTTCTGCTGTGAACCAAAGGAAAACTGCTTTGAGGCAATAAAACGTTTACCTAGTGATACATTCTCATAATCTGGAAGCGTCTTTTTAGACTACTCATTGTGTGCTGTGTGTTTTAAAGAAACAGATGCAGGATAAACATAATAGTCTAGTGGGTTGTGATGTATTTTTATATGCTCTGTATTATCTAATTGTACAATCAGGAATTGTAATACACAGATAAAACAATCCTCGTTAAGATTATTACAAAACTACTTTGAATGTACTTTTTGTGCATTTTTTTCCTTTTTGGCAGCACAGTACAAGTAAGGCAACTTAGACATTTTTAGAATAGTTCTTTTTGCGTATGTTTAAATTACTTCTTACTATGAATCATGGATAAGGGAAATTACAGAATTCATTAGAGATAAAAGGTAAAAGCCTGTTGATAACAAGGATTGTTCCAGCCGTGATCAGGTTAGGAGAATGGATTTTGACCTGCATTAGTAGCTGTCTCATTTTTACTCTTTGAATTGAATATAAATCTTAGGTTTTGAGTTTGGGTTGGTATTTTTCCCCACTGGATGGAACATCCTACATTTTTTGTTGAAAAAAATGTATCAATTTGGTTTAATTTTGTTTCAGCTGGTTCTGATCCTTTTTTTTTGGTGATAACTATTATTAAATTTCGTTTTACTTCATTACCGTAAGAAGAAATAATTTTGAAAAACAGATTTTGGTTGTTTCTACTGGTTTTCAAAACTAACGAAGATAAAGGTAATGTTAGAACGTATACACACAAAACAGGAAAGCAAATTAAATTGCCTACTCTTCAGTTCCCACTATACACCTATGATTAATAAAACTTCAGCTCAACTGCCATACCCTGGGGCAAGTAGGTAAAAGTTTTGATTTTAAGTAAAACTGAAATTATTTTGTATTTCAAAAGTAAAGTCCCATTTAATTTCAGACTGAGAAATATTCTTTGTTAGATTTTTTTTTTCTTTTGGGGGGGTATTTAGTACTGTTTAACCCTCCTATTATGTTATATTAGGAACTAAAGCGTCATTTTAAAACAAAAATTAGATGTTCCATCCTGAAAACAAAAGCAAAATATTTTTACTTTTAAAAAAAAAATAAACCCTCCCATCGAAGCAGAGTTTAGCACACTCGGTTATTTCTCTACTCATTTGCATTGAATGTCTATAATAGTTGATGAACAGGACTACAGCAGAGATTTGAATGTTTTCACCATCCAGTTGTAAGAGTTGAAGACACTTGAATTTTCCATGGTGAAGATCTTGGGTAGGACAACTGAATACTTAGAAAGAAGTAAGGTTTGCTTATTCCCTAAATATTTAGCTGGTGCTTTCCCTCCTGTGTTCCCAAATAAGGCTATAAATAATAGGCCTCTTCTTGACTATGGGCATTCTTTAGTCAGCACAACAATATCATCAACCTTATCGTAATGGGCAACCTTATCATCCATTTTTTCCAGGTCTACCACATTTTCAAGAACAAAATGATTTAAAGGGATTGCTAGAAAATCTCCATCAAAATATCCAGGCCAAAAAGAGAAAGAATGTAGAAATCATGTGGCTCGCTGCGACGGTAAGCTCTCTTGTTTCAGATACGTTCACACGATGAACTGATTTTCACATGCCTGCCGATATTGCAAGTGCAATGAATTTTAACAATATGATTGGAAAACTCAACGATTAAAGTAGATAGGTATGCTGAAATGGCTCTTGAACATTTCCATTCTGATGGTCTCTCATCCCAGTCATGAATATATCTCTTCTTCCCGACACTGAAACTACAGATATTTTCTTTTTCTCACTCTCTGAACTAGTAGAACTGGCTAGAATTCAAAGTGAGAAATGGTCTTGGTCGTTTTGTCATTCCCCTGCATCCTTCAGGCCCTTTTCTGCAGAGCTTCTCCTAGCCAGGCAGTCCATGGCCTGTGCTGCTGCGTGGGGTTAGTTTGTCCCAGAGGCAGGATTCTTCATTTATCCCAGTGAGTTATGTAATAGGGTAAAAGAGGTTTGCTTTTTGTTTGGGGAATGTTTTTTCTTTAACTAATTGAGTCTGGTTTTAGGTAGAGGAATCCCTTCATCCCCAGTATGGGCAGAATCAATTCCTTGGATGATCGCACATAGCTGTAAATATATCGCTTCATATAAGAGAGACAATACAGTATTCAGCTATAGTATCTAACTTTTGTTTTGTTTAAAATCATGTCCATTTTTTGATAATAGGAAATTTGGTTATTCAAAATATCTTCCTTTTATTGTTTAGTGTCCATAAGCCTTGAGGTATGATACAAGACATATTACTTGCTCTGGCTTTTGTTTAACATTGCTGCACTCAACTTTTGATTTTCTGTAATTAAGATAGTTATGTTTTATAAATAAGTGTTTAATTGTATTGGTACAACTTTGTCAATCGCATTTTATGTTTTGGTTTTTTTTTTTTAGCCAGCGTCACCACGACAGCCACTCCAATGGCACTGATAGCAACACGAAATAAGCTAGATAGGCAAAGAACAGACATTGAGACACAGGGAGAACACAAGGAAAAATGTTTATCAAACAATGAATAATACTTATTTTGCTTTATTCACATAATTCTTTTTTGTTTCCTAATTCTGTGTTTTTTGCACAGACACCTAAAAAAAAAAACCCAAACACAAACCAACCAACCAAACAAAAAAACACAACAAAAAATGAAAAACAAACCGCACAAAAAAAACCCTGACAAAACAACCCTTAGATGTTTGTAAAGAGCTCAAGCTTTTCAAGAATGTGAAATTCAAGCAGGTAATTGTCTGAGATTTAGACAAGTACCCTTGGTGTGTCTGCCCATTTTTACAAGCAGAGCTTGAGTCTTTGGTATTGACTGCGATTGAAGCAAGACCTTGTGTTTTGTGAACTTTTGAATGCACATACCCTTTAAGGCAAAGAAATATTTGATACAAAATATTAATAAAATTCTCCACGAGTTTTCATTAACACCAGGAACAAGACAATATTAACTATGACTTTGTATTAATAACACCTGTAATTTTTTATATTGCTAATAACATTTTGCCTTGTGGTTAATAAATATTATCATATGCTATTGCAGTATAAATCTGTTGTGAGTAAAAATATTATATTTTCTTGCAGTACCAGTTCTGCAATTACTATGAAACATTAGTTTTTAGAGAAGTAAAAGATAAATCAGGACAGGATAGTGTAAAATGAGCTACAAAGAATGACAGAATTTATTTCATCTTTGGATATAGAAAGTTGTCTTCTACCATCTATTCATGATTCCCTGAAATTAATTTCATGGGTAAAAAGAATTCTTTGGACATACAAACTGTTTCCGATTTTTCCTTCACTATATTTTGTTTCTCTTTACATTACCATACTGTAACCTTCTGAAATGAGTATTTCTGGACCCATTGATCTACACACTGTTATACTATGTTACATTTATTTACTGGAAAGGTATATCACTTTGTGATTTGGAAAGGCTATCACTTTGTGGTTGCAGTAGATGTATGAGATTCTACATGGATATGCGTATGTATCTGCACCTGCGTGTAATCCCTGTTGTAATGGGACTGTGAGAATACAGCTGCATTTTAAAAGTCAGCTTTTGCAAATTGGTATCACAAACGTTTCTTATTCTAAATATAATGGGAAGGAGATTTAAATGTTATATATTTTTATTTCCTAAGCTGCACCCTTCATCTTCTGTCTTTTATCAGGAGAAATAATCAGAGCATTGATCTATTCTTGGTTTAGTCTTCATGGTTTTATATGCTTTTATCATCCCCTCTTTAAACTTAATCACAATCCTAATCATTTAAATCTGTGTTCGTAAAGGAGACTTTCTAAAGCTCTAATAAATGTTAAGTCTATTTCTCCTCCTCCTCTATCTTCAATATATTTGGGGAAGAAGTGAGCAAAATTGAGTATAAAATTCAGGCTGGACACTAATCGTAAGCTGTGTGTTCTGATATGATGGTATTACTATATATTTGGTATTGTCCCTTGGATTTCTAGAGCATCAGATCATTGTGTTTGCCCGTTTTAATTATTTACTTTGTTTAACTGCTGCTGCTTAGTGAACTGCGTCATTCTGAGAATTTATCTGGGCCAGCCTATCAGGTTAAGCTACGTTTCTCCTTAAATCAGAATCTAAGGATTTTTTAATTTGTTTATTTAAGTCAACAGATAGTTTTCTATTTAATCCACTTTGAAATGATTGAGACATTCGTACTGAACTTTAATGCAAAATAAGCTTGTGGTTACGGTCATTTGCTTATTGTGCCTAGAATGCTTCTCAGGTCAAACCTGACTCTCGCTAGCCAGCACGTTATAGGTATGTTTTCAGTCCAGGTTTGGGATTTAGTCTCCCTTCCCTGCATCGGAGACCATCACTCATCCAGGATAATTACCTGGGGTTTTATGACTCATTCACTTCAAATAGGCACAATGACTCATGGACTTCAAAAGAGACTAGTGTAAAGAGAATTAATCTCTTCAATTAAGCAGTTAACTTCTTTCACAGCATTACTTAAAAAAAAGTCTTATAGTACTTCATTTAAATCCCAATGCAACTTTACAAATTTTTAAACAGATTTAAGTTTTAAAATTTTGAATTATAGGAGAGAAGAAACGCTCACAGGTTCTCCTTTACTAGCCTGTACTTCTTTGGATTCAAAGTTAGATTCAATTAATTCATTCCCTGGATTCAACTTTTGAGATCGCCCTTACCACAATATCACAAAGACCCTAAAGACTATAAATATTTTCTGGGCCATTGATTTTAAGAGAATTTCTGAGAATGCAATTAATGGATAAAAAAAGCGCTTATTTGCTGAAGTGAGATTATAAAGATCATGTTCTCATTTCATCCTGCAAGATCCCAAGTAAACACATGATAGCCAAGCTGGGAGGTTCCTTAGGATGGAGCCTAACTGCTGTAATTTATTGCCTTGCCCTATTCTCATAACTATTTCCTTTCTTGATACTGTTATAGCTATGATTGTCCAGGGATAGAAGCAAGCAAAGCAAAGTATTACTTTTTCTTAGGATAAATTATATCAGGGAAAAGGCAGACCTGCACCTGGGCACACCAGCTCTCCTTCAAATTTTTCTTTTTCTAGTAAAATATTATTTGAACCTAAAGTACAAACTAATGGGCTAGTACAACCACAGATTGATTTTTAAGGTGAGAAATTATCCTTAAAAACATGTCATGTTTCCCATAAAATTTTGTGAAAATGTACAGTGAAAGCAAACAACCCATGGCAGTCATTTGTGTTAGGCTTTAATTGCTCTGGGTCGCACATTGAACAGTTTCCCTGTTGAAAATAAGGCCTATATTTAAATTCAGATGTGTCTGAATACATACCCATGTGAGAAGTTAGTCCTCTATGTTGATGAGCCTGAGTTAAGACTTGTCAAAGTCTGTCTTTGCTTTTTCAACATTCATTAGGTGTTCAGACACATAAGCTTTAATTGAATAGGGTGGTTGTCACAGAAAGTGAGGAAAAAATGAAGCGACTTTTCCTTTTATAGTCTAGGCTAACACAAATACTACTTATTTCAAGTTCAGGAGGTTGGATGCAATGGTGTGGTAAGCTGTAGTATGTGTAGACTTTAGTGACTTGCTTAAAATGCTTAGGACTAAGAACAGTAGATTATTTTTTTTGTTGGGTCCACTGTCAGTTTCTTGCTTCACTTGGTGGGGGGCTGTTGGGGTGGGCAGGAGAGAGACTGCAGTACAAGATTAAGTGCAGCTCTCAAAGTCACTCACGGCTCCTTTTTCCTCAGTGGGCAGGTTATTTGTAGGCTTGTCCTGCCAATGAAAACCCTGAAGATCTACTTTTCAAATGTGTCTTCTGGACAAATTGGAAATGGGCTGTAGATCAGTAGCTATCATCTTCTGGTGCTATTTTTGTAGAGTGTTAATGCTGCAAATTTATAAACAAAAGGTAAATTTATAGTTCTTTTCAGCACAAGGTTTTCATCTTTTGTGGCACTGTGTCAGGCCAGCATGGGCGTAATCCTTAGAATACGAAAATCCCCAGGGCAGTGCTAATGACCAATTTAACTGCAAAGGCACAGGTCAGCAGCTGTATGACCCAGGCTGGAGTTACTACACTTAATAGCTATTTTCTTCTTCAGAAATACTGTAGTTCTCTGTATTCGTTGTCTGTGATTGCAAAATTGCCGGAGTTTCACAGCCTGCCTAGTGTGTAGAGATCACAAGGTGTGAAAAGGGCAATCCTTTGACATCTGCACGTGTTTCAGATTTGCCGTAAGCTGAACGGAGTCCGTTTCACCTGCTGCAAAAGTGCCAAAGACCGGACATCCATGTCAGTGACGCTGGAGCAGTGCTCCATCTTGAGGGACGAGCATCAGCTTCACAAAGACTTCTTTATTCGGGCGCTGGATTGTATGAGAAGGTACGTGGAGATTTTTGCATGTCCCTTGCATTGCATTTTGAGCTAAGCCAGGAACTATGGTACAGCACGGTCTAAAGCCGGTTGCAAATGCATGGTAGGCCCCCGTCCTGATTTGGCGGAGAGCTGACCAGCAGCATGCCAACTGGTCAGTCACTTTGGCATGCAAGGTCTTTGCAACTGTGCGTTTATCACTAATTAACAGTTTCCGAGATAGATATGTGAAACTTTGCACTGACTGTAGAATTTGACCAAGTAAAGAGCAGTTATTTTAACAATTTCCTTAGCTTTCATAAGACTTCAAATCTTAACAATATTCTATAACTGTATTAAAAAAAAAAGTTATTTTCTGTTTTAAGAATATTTTTTACATGTTTACACACTCACTAAATCATTTGTTTAATTTAGACAAATACTGTGAAAGCAGAATTAAGCGTTTGTTACAGATGGCAATTCTTATTAACTCGTTATTAAAAGTAAAAGAAACTCAAGTAGGTTCGGACTGATGGTGGTTGCCACTAATATCTGATAAAATCTTCACTGTGCTTAAAAAATAAAAAAACTTTTTTCTGAATTACAACTATGCAGAAATTGAGGCTGATGTTATCAGGAATGTATAATTAAAAGTTGTAAAGATTTCTGATTACCTGAATCTTTCATGAATACAAAAAAAAACGTTGAGCAAACAAGCTTTGATCATAAAATGAACCCAGATGCTATATTCTCTAAAGTGTTCATCATTGGCTTTTATGATTTTTCTATGAGTTTAAAAAATTGTATCCGCAATATTCAAATAATATACCACAAATGTCACTGCAAAACTAATAGAAAATATTCTGGTCAGCCTGCGAAGAAGTAACTGAATCATATCTTGCACGTATGTGACACACAAATTGTTTGTATGTTGGATTTGGAAAGATCATACTAAGTAAACAGTCATCTTTAAACTCTAATTGATAATTCTTGACCTGAATATTTAGTATTGTCAGATTGGGTGTTTAATGTCTGGATTAACACTGTAGGTTTACACATGTAGGGTCCTTTTGTCTTTTGGCAAAGACAGATATTCTAAAGAAAAAAGGTAATGTTTACAAAGCAGGTCAGCAGAGGACTGAGATGGCTTAGACGTAGAGTTGGTTTGCAAGGTGCTGGTGTGGTGTGACGTATTAAACTGAGGTGTATCGCTTTGTGTCTGTCATCAGCTTGCATAAAGTCTCTGCAGTATTTCAGTGAGTGAATGACTTGTGTGCAGTCTTTCATAACTACATGTTTTGTCATTAATGAAAAATTCCTCAGTTTTCTGTGTTAAATTTCATTTGTGTTGGCATTTCAAATATTTTTTTTTTCTTTTATGTCTCCAATAAATACAAAAAATACAAAAGTGTGTGAGCTACAGTAAATTACCAGATACAGGCTTACTAATATAAAATCATTGTTATAGTAGAATAGCATTAAGTAGGAGATTGAAAAAGTTTCACAGATATAAACCTGGTTTTTAAAAAAAGCCCTGATATTTATACAAACTAACTTGTTAGTAAGAAAGTAAGTAGGTTTTTGTTGACTGAAATGTAAGCAACTTTGAGTGCTTTTCTATCACATAACTGGTCTGAAAGCTGAGAATATTAACACGTTAGTTATATTCGCAGATAACAGTAAATTGATGTCACAAAAGAATGGTGAAAAGCCGAGAAAATCTGGAAAAAACTTAAAAAATAAATGAGTAGAGGGTGGTATATGAGGTTGAAGCACCATCATAAGAGTGTGAATTCCATGTTTTTGCTGTAGTTTTAAGCAGAGAAAAACTTTATCCTGCTAATATCCTGTAAATGAATTTGAAACAGCCTTGAACTGAAGGAGATGCTGTGTTGGAGGGAAGGTAATAATTTTGACTTGGCTGGTGGGGATTGTCTGGGACTTCAAGCAAGGGCCTTGCAAGTAGTGGCAGTAGCATACAAAATAACCTGCACCGTCGGGATAATAAGTAAACAGATCTTTTACCTATGCTGGTTTCTATCTGTACAACACCGTTCACACAACTGGAGGTTAAAAAAACACCTGAGCAGCCAATGTACTTTCTTTTCTCATGAGCTGGTGAATGAAAGCCCAACAATTCAGAACAGGAGACTAAAAATGTCAAATGGGGACACATAGTACTTAACTCTACGGTACTCTCATTGGGAGTTGGTCAGACAGTTTCAAGAGCTGTCTTTGGGTGCTTTTTTGGGTATCTTTGGTGCTACAGAAAAAACAGCAGGGACTGTTTCTCCTTCCCCACTGCCCATCTGTTGCTGGAGGCACTTATGGAGCGGTGCTGGAAGTGATGCCGGCTCTCCTCCCTCTCCACCGCTGACGCGGTGCTGTGGCAGCTGGGCGCCCTTCTTGCAGGCAGATGGAGAAAGGTGAATTGCAGAGAAGGGCAGTTTGAGAGAGAGCACTGGGAAGGAAGGAACAACCAGGCAAAAGAGAGAGGGGGGAAAGCCATCATTTCCACAGGAAGGGATATAATGGCGTTTCAACTCAAATCTCCTGTATTTTACTTGAGGGAAGTTTGGCAGCTATGTTTTTGAGGTTTGTGTGAATGAGGTCAACAGGCTTCTTTTGGTAGTTGTTGTGAGGCTTACTCTTGTATCCTTTCTTTTTATTTGATTACTATTGAAAAGTGTTATTTGAAAGATTATGCTGTGCATTTCTAATCTTTTCATTGACTGCTTATAGAAGCTTTTAGAATGATTTTCATGTCTATAAGAACCTATTTTGTTTCAAGAGCAGACAGAGGAAAAACTCTGTTTGCCGTTTAATTTATAATTTTAGCAATTCCCTGATGAATCTTCTCCAGATCACTTAGTTAAACTCTGTCAATCAAATCCCTTTACGCTGATTGCCACAAATCACTTTTAAGCCTTTCAAAAGAACAAGTAGACAAGAAAAATTCAATTTTAACATCCAGAATCCTAACAGACAGGATTGATCTTTGAAAGGCTTCTTTCAAGAGTTAACAGCAGGAGATAGAGAGTACTGTGAAACAAAGTGAGTTGTAAAAGTAAACGGCGATTCAAAAGCAGCCTTTACTGGAAATGCCATAATTTTGAGATATGAAAATTATAAAGGTGCCTGTGTAGCTGTAAAGCTTTTTCTTTTCCTACCAGTGCTGACACAGCTTTGCTGGCTGTCATAACAGGGAACCATGTGCTTATGGGTTTGTGCTTTCTTGCCACCAGAAGTTTGGAGATGCTGGACTTGTGTGTGCTGCTGCTTTTCAGCTTCTCTGATGTCCCTAGGATTTTGAGCAAACCAGAGGCAATTTCAGGTGGTTCAGTGTGTTTGCTTCGATGTACGTTGCACAATGCTGTTTTGGAAAATACTGCCAGTAGCTGTTATTTAATGACTTAGTTTGTAAGTGGAAACAGTGTCGTGTAGTGATAAACCAAATGATGTGTATTGCTGCTTAAAAAAAAAAAGCTGTACAAAAATCTGTCTGTTAGTTGTCCCTTTAGCGTATGAAAAATGTGATGAAACAATGATAGGAATTCAAGCTTTATTACCATATGTAATATATGGTTTTGTCTTCTGGGTGTGACTCTAGCTATTATGATGCTGCAATTGATCTGTGTGAGAAGCGGCCATTCCATCAATAATTCTACATATTATAGTTTCCTTAGTGGATTTATGTGACTTCCATTGATCTTAGTTGACATGCATAGGGCAGAATGAGGAAAATCAGTATGTTATCCCCTCTGTATCAAGTGCTTGCAACTCAGATCATATTAAAATCACATTTATGATGTTGCTGCTGCTTTCAAATCATCATTTTTTTTTGCAATCATCAATATTCTTTTCTTATTTTTCCCTTCACCGATATGTGAATATTTCCTGTCATTCAATGTTAACTATATTGCAAGCGAAAGTAGAGAGACAGAACTGATTTACCTGAGTTCATTGCAGTATCTGTCACACGATTCTACTTTTTGTCTTTAGAGCTGGCCACTGCTTAAGGAAGGTTGGACTCTGGTAGGCAGCACACTATGAAGCAGTTCTGTAAAACTAGTTTGGTTTTTGGTTTTTTTGTTTTTTCTTTTTTCTTCTTTCTCTTCTGAACCTATTTAATTTTAATGTTTCTGTGACAGGACCCCTTTTGGAGGTCTTGGGTAGTGAGTATCCTCAGAATCTCCTGGGTTTTGAGCATGTTTCCAATATAGCCTCAAAAGTAAAAACCAGCAAATTAAATGACAAATCCACCACCTGTGGTGAAGCCTCCAAGCTTTCAGCATTATCATCGTTCTTAGCAGGGCACAATACTTGTCAGAAATTTCGGACATTGAATACAAAATTTGACTTGGTGTAGGGGACATTGTTTTCACTTGAAACAGTAGTCAAGGATATTTCAGATTATTTTAGGTAAATTGCCTGTCAAAAATCTGATTGAAGCACAAATACAAAGAATAAATAGTCTGGGCAACAAAATATGGTCTTTTGAATGCCCAATTATGAAACAAATAGCTGCTTTTTAAAGAGCTCTTTGAGGGCATCTTTTCTTAAAGGTCATCGTAAAGATGTGTGAGTTGAGAAGGAGGGAGAGCTGTAATACCTCTTTAATCAGGGACTCTCAGATGTTCTGGGCAGAATCCATAGAGCCAGGCTGAGACGGACCCTGGCCATGGAAGGGCCTGTACCAAACAACGCAGCGTTGCGATTGCTACATGCGCAGGGATGCAGGAGCCAAGGGAGGGGATAAGAGACTGGGATCCATGTGCAGGACTTCCGCTGCCTTTTTCCTATCTCCCAGCTTTCACCCTGCCCCTGATATCAAAGGGTTAAATAATTCAGCTAAATTAACAGAAAAGCAGGCACATTCTTTAGCCTGGCATCTCAAGGTTGGGAAGCATCAAGAAAAAGAACAAATAATTAGAAGAAGGGACACTGCTATCTAAGTCAGTAGGCAAGAATGTGGCGAGAGGCCTTCAAGAGAGGGAGTTCTAGACATGAAGGGAGCCAAGCTGATAACA